TCATCATTATCCATGTCTTCTTTCGTATAATAATAGTAAATATAAGCTTTAAAAAAATGAATTAATATAGTAAATAATATATATTAATTAATTATTAATAATATAATTAATCTAATAACATATCACATTTTTTAGTCCTAGAACTTTTTGAAATAATAGTAGAATATTGATCTATATTTTTTTTAAATAAAAAAAAATTAATTAATTAATTAATAATAATTAAAATCTAATTAAACATACTTATAATAGCTTCTCTATTGAATAATTTGCATAATAAATTAATATCAATTTGTTGAGTATTAATTACTATATATTTGTCATTTTTCTTAAAACTTATAGTTAGTATATCCAATAATCTAATAATATTTGTAAGATTCTTTTTCTAATAACTGTATAAGTTTAGATTATTCAAAACAAGTGATACCATTTTGCTTAAATTTACAATGTGAATCTTGAGCAGTAAGAAATATACTATAATTAAAAAAAATTAATAAATTATGTTTAATTAATCAAAAATTAAATTAAAAAAAATACTTATATGTATGTATAATTTTCTTTATCATTTCTATTATTGTTTTTGTTAATCTATTTATAAATATTAGATTTAAAATCTACTTTACAATGTTCAATAATTATAAGATTAGAATTAGCAAAGAAATAATATTTGATTTCTCAACATCCTCTTACATATTTTGTAATAGGAATATCACCAAAAAAGGATACTTTTGAATAGGAGAACTACCTCTACTACTTATAGAATACTGTATCTAAAAAATAATAAATTTTTTATTAAATTAATTAATTAGTAAAAAGAAATAAACTGGTTTAAGTTTTAACTATATCATTAAATGTATCCATATGATCTTTCTATCCTTGTATATTAAAAACTGTTGCAACATCATTAGAAGATGTTGCAGAATATTTTATAAGTATAGTTAAATAAATGATTGTTAATACACTAAGATTTTTTGTAAAATATGCCAATTTTATTCTATTATTACTACTAGAATTACTATTAATTGGTAAAATCTACACAATAAAATTTGATTAATTTATTTAAGCTATGATTTTAATAAAATTTTTTAAAGCTTACTTGAGTATCCTTATTTGCATCATATACTTCTTCATCTAAATCTCAATAATTTCCATTTTTATTGAAAATATATTGTAAGAAAGTTTTTTTATAAAAGTTTTAAAGGTATAATAATGAATGGATGAAAAAAAAAAATATTTTACATGATGCATATAAAATGATGAAGTTACATTTACGCATATAAATTTGATTTAAAAAGAATATCAACATCACTTATAATCAAATTTATTAATGATTTATATATAATAAGATCTTAATTTTAGAATAAAACTCATTTTTTATGCACAAATCACCAATTGTAGTTAAATCCTTTTAATCTATTTTTCCAAAATATTATGCTTACATAAAAATTATTCCATCTGAAGTATGATTCTAACATTACTCCTTTTTAAAGTTACTTATAAAAACTTTATTAATTAATGTAACAATTTGAATTAATCAGTAATTTTCCTAAAAATTACCAAAAATTGATAATATACTAATGATAAATTTTACATATAATTATATACCTATTCCTCCCTTTTTCTTTTTTCTTAAACTTTTTTAATATACAAAAATTGATAAAAAGTCGGATAAATTTTGAAATTTTGTTGAATTTATATTATCTATGAAGCAATTGACCAGTCATAATAAAGTCACGTAAATGATATAGTATAACAATCTTTTAATCCAGAATTCTGAAAATACTAAGAATTCTATAAATTCTGAAAATACAGAGGATCTATGTAATTCTGAAGATCTTCTAAATACTGATAATAATTCTAA